AGACTCATCCTGGAGCTTCAAGGCACTGAGTCTTGCGGCTGCGTAAGCTCTCGAGTTTTCATCTCTTTTCAACAGTATAGAGCCTAAGAAAATCTCCAGTGGACCTCACAGACATCTAAAAGCCAGGAGCATCTAAGAAATCCACACTTCACCCTCATTTTCTCGAATCCACTCTTCTCATTGTTGAAACATCAATCTCCAGGGAAACACTGAGTAGTCCCAAATAGAAGGGCTAGGAAAAGTTAGCAAACTACATCAGCATCCTTCTTACACCTGTTATGCCGGATATTCATACTAGAGTTCTCATAAAGTAATTTATCTTCTAAGTAGGAGTTCTGCCATTTATTGAGTAGTTTGTTACAGCTTTTAGAAAACAAGTATTATACACATAGCTATGGAGAAAGAACTTAAGAAGGCAAGTATCTCTGTGTCTAAATGTGGAGCCCCACACCTTCAAACCTTCAATGGGCACCTATACCAACCCTTTGTGAGCAGCAAATTAGAGTTCCCATCTCTCCCTTCCACTCACCTTCACTTAGCGTCCTTTGAGAAGTTTCTTTATGCGCTACTAAAACAGAAACTTAGGGGCAAAATTCTCCATTTATAAATATCAGATGGTTTGGGAAAAAATATTTGTGGCACTGGACTTTTTTTTTTCTACAGTGATGTCATTTTAAATACTTGGTGTGCTCCAAATTTGCTATTTTTACTTCCCCCAAGTGACTTTTTTGGGAAATACATTTGTTTGGATTAGCTACATTTTAAGTGACCCCTGTAATCTAATATGCAGCATCAGGTTCATCTCAGCAATTATCACTAATACTATGCTGCTTACAAACTTGAAATCCCGTATTTGTTCATTTTCAAACTTGCTCCTCTAATTTTTCTATTCACATAGAGGAAAAATAAAATGAAATAAAAAGATTGGCCTTTTCACAAACAAAAACCACACTCATCAACTCAAAATTATTTAAAATGGAAGACATTAAAGGCCCCCGAAGTCAAATAAAATTTTCACTTCCACAATGTGCTTTTGGGGAACAAGGTCGAAGTAGCCACTGCCGGCTTTGAGACATTTATTGGAAAGCAGTCTAGAGTTGAGAAGTGCAGAAGAGGAAAGTTTAAGAAGGAGTGCTAAATGCCTCAGCCCTACCTGATCTGAATTTGCTCCTAATCAGCAAAGAATGCTCAGCCCCCAGGAGGGTCATGTTGAGTCTCAGCGAGCCGCTGGTCCCTTGGCCAGACGCCCCCTGTTTTCCACCAGGAACAGGCTCCCAGGAGCCCAGCTGACCGCAGCTAACAACCCAGAATTCATCCAACTCTCCGTGAGCTCCCCTGGGTAGGAGGAGTACAGTGGCAGCCAGTGACCGAAACCAGTGTCCCCGGAAAACTGACGGCTCCCCCCTCGCTGTGCGGTGCTGATTAACTCTTAGCCGGCAGGAACCTCCTCCTCCTGCGTCTGGCCAGGAGCAGCGGCATCCCAGGCGTTCTTGGCTGATGTCATAGGCTGCCAGCGATTGCGGAGTATCACCACCACGCCTTTATGAAGGTCCCAAGTTTGCTATCTGATACTTTTTACTACTGACAGGAGCTCAGCCAATCAGGAGCGGCGAGCGGGGACCGGGCAGTTGGAGTAGCCCGGGGCGTGTGGAGAGTCGGATCTTAACTCTGCAGCGAGCTGGGCGGACGCAGAGGCACGGGGTTGGCCCGCAGGTCCGGGGTCTGGCATCCGCCAAGACAAAGTTAAGGATACGGAAGGACAGAAAGGAGGGCTGCAAAGCGCCTGGGCTTGCAGGTTGTGCACGGCTCTGCGGACATGGCGGTGGGGGCGGAGGGGGCGGGGCTCCTAGGGGCTGGGCCAGGGTGGGTGGGAGCCACGGGACTTCCCCACAGCTGGGCAGCTCCTTGGGAGGCTGACGCGAAGGGAATCTCACACCCAGGAAGGGACGCGCGCGCCTACGAGACTCCCTGCGCACCGCGCTTTGCAAATAAGCTGGACCACTTGCAGATAAAGCTTGCAACAGAGCAGTCTCCACATTCTCAAGGCACAGAGAGACCGTATTCACCTCGCAGCTCTAGTATCAAACTTGATTACACATCCGCGGAGAAAATGAAAAGCCTTTCATTTTTCTGGAATATGCGCTTTCTGGACAAACCTGACTCAGTGTATCTGCAGATCTAGTCCGGACGATTTGCTGTCCCTTTGGGGGAAGACATATGAGTAGAATGCCCTTTTGGGCTCTCAGACTCCAGAAGGGAAGATCTGTGCAGCAGAGTGATGTGAGAGCTGGGGTTGGGTTTAGCATAGAAAGGCTCCAAGGGTTTTCTAGGAGCGAGTACCTCCTTAGGGAAAAATCCATTACAAATTGAACACTGAATTATTGTGCATCCATCAATAAATAAAATGAAGACCCTGCTCTCAAGAGGCTGCTTAATAGTTGACACAGAAAATAAAAACCAAACTATATACGTATATAAAGTTGGGCTGAATTTATTTGCAACCGTACATGCACATGGGCCTCAATATATCATTTGTTTCATAAATGCCTGCTTATGTCTCAGGAGACCCTTAAATCCTTAAAAGATCAATTGGTGACAGATGAAGACCCAAGGCGACAGTGGCTCATGGGACCACTCTAATGCCCTGAGTTTGGGCCTCTGCCTGAATTTCCTGATTCTTAAGAGTTCACTCTTTAGATCTGACCAGTTGTTTGTGTAAATGAGATCTTCTGGGACAGACCACTTAATTCCTGATGTGTCAGAAAGGAGGCAGAGCAAGCCCACCCATGTTGCGGTGGGAATGCTGACCTGCCCATGGGGCCTGTGCACAGGCCTATGGGATGTGCAGGAGCACCACAGTGATTATGTAACATTCCCATACAGAATATATTGCTTTCTTTGTCTTGCTGTAACAAGCTGAGTTTACAGCACAAATTTATTATTCTGAAGTTCTTGGAGGTCAGAAGTCTGAAATGGGCTTCGCTGGGCTATAATCAAGATGTTGGCAGGGATACATTCCCTTCTGGAGGATCTCTAAGAGAGTTGTTTCCTTGCCCTTTCCAGCTTCTAGAGGTCAATCATATTCTCCAGTTTGTGTCCCCTTCTTCCATGTTCAAAGTCAGCAGCAGTGGGACAAATGCTTATCATGTGGTGTGGCTCTGACCTCTCCTCTTCTGCCTCCCCTTTCCACATTGAAGGACACTTGTGACTATATGATGTCCATCTGGATAAACCTTAGTATAAGATCAGCTGATTATTGACCTTACTCCCATCTGTTGCCTTATTTCCTTTTGCCACTTAATGTGGCATAGTCACAAGTTCCTGGGATTAAAAAGTGAACATGGGAAGAAGGCACTCTATTCTGCCTTTGACGCAGCATGACTCCTCTTTCTACCAGCATGTTCCAGTCCTCAGTGGAGCCCCAAGCTCCTGGTCTTCAATGAAAACAGATCAAGTAAAGGGAGGTTTGGGAATAGGGATGTACAGGAGCCTGGAAGAACCCTGGCAAGCTTGGCGATGCCTGTGGCAGGGTAGTAATCTGCAGGAAAGAGACTGATGGGATAAGGAACATTGCTAAATTATCGGAGTAGAGAAAAAACTATTTTGAGCACATTAAAAACAAAAGAAAGCCAAACAGATTTTTATCCTGAGGGTTGTGGAGCTGAGAAGAAGGCAACTTGGCAGAGACTTATTTTTTCAGTGAAAGTTGTGATAAAAACAGCTGAAGCCAGTATTGAATGTAAGGGTCTGCATGACCTAGATGAGTTAGACTGGAGTAAACTTTTTTCCTTTGCAGGCGAGGGGTTAGGAAGAAGGGGGAGAGGGCAGGGAGAAAGAGACAGAGAAAGATTGATGGAGAGAGAGAGAGAGAGAGAGAGAGAGAGAGAAGAGTATAGTTTCTTTTTTGAGTGCGTTTGGGAAATGCTGGGAACCATAGCCTTTCTCAATTTTCCCATAATACTGTGGAGCTGCTGACGTCTGCCCTCTGGAATTTATACCCCTATGGCGTGGAATATCTATGGATATAAATATGCTCATTTAGAAGCTCATCTTTCTACCTCTCTATGTAAGCATTTTTTTGTGTGGAAAAAAAAATTGGGGGGTAAAATTTGATTAGTATGCTTAGCCTGTGGTGCTTTGGCAGTAGCTGGCTGCCACCAGGTTCTGTCCTGCAGTTTGACCACGTTAGCAGTACTTTTCCTCTGCCTTGCTACCCTGTGACCTTCTCTCCTGAGGCCTAGAGTGAACCTGAGATGTGATGTATAGGAGACACAGAAGCTTCTAACAGCAGGAAGAGCTTGATTTAAACCTAATCTACCCCTGTGACTTGGAATTAGTTATTAAAGTCCTGTGAAACACTGAGCATCCTCAAGTAAAATGGAGTTAGAAACGCTTCCCAGAAGTTTTGAAGTTTAAATGAAATAATACATTTGCAGTACCCAGAATAATTCTTCCTGGAAGGTTTAAGTACCTCTCTTTACCCTCCCCTCACCTCCAATCATTCTTGCTGATTCTAAGCAATCCTGACACCTCCTTTGTCACAGCTTTCCTTTCCTTTGCCATCAGTTATCTATTGAATTGCCAACTTAAAACAGCACAAATGTTTTCTTGTTTATTTATTTATTAATTTTTCAAGTTAAATTTTTTTAAATGCCAGATTATTTTTTACTTTCTCCCTGCACCCCCTCCCTTCTGGTAATGACTTGTCCATTGTCCATGTCAATGAGTCTCTGTCCTGTTCATTTGTTGCTTTTAGGTTTATATCCCACATGTAAGTGATATCATATGATTTTCAACCTTTTCTGTCTGGCTTATTTCGCTTAGTATGATTATTTCAAGGTCCATCCATGTCGTTGCAAATGGCAGTATTTCATCTCTTCTTATGGCTGAGTAATATTCCATTGTATATATGTACCACAGCGTCTTTAGCCAATCATCTATCATAGGACACTTCGGTTGCTTTCATGTCCTGGCCACTGTGAAAAATGCTGCTATGAACATCGGTATACAAATATCTTTTTGGATATGTGTTTCCAAGTTTTTGGGGTAAATACCCAGTAGAGGGATTGCTGGATCATATGATAGATCAATCCTTAGTGTTTTGAGGAACCTCCATACTGTCTTCCATAGTGGCTGTACCAATTTTCAGTCCCACCAGCAGTGTATGAGGGTTCCTTTTTCTTCGCATCCTCTCCAATATTTGTTATTACTTGTTCTGTTGATTATAGCTATACTAACAGGTGCGAGATGGTATCTCATTGTGGTTTTGATTGGTATTTCCCTAATAGCTAGCGATGTCAAGTATCTTTTCATATATTTGTTGGCCATTTGTATGTCCTCTAGGGAGAAGTGTCTGTTCAGGTACTCTGCCCATTTTTTGATTGGATTGTTTGTTGTTGTTGTTATTGAGTTGTATGAGTTCTTTGTATATTTTGGATATTAGGCCATTATTGGAGGTGGTGCTAGCAAATATGTTTTCCCATTCAGATGGTTGTCTCTTTACCTTGTTGACGATTTCTTTTGCTGAGCAGAATCTTTTTAGTTTGATGTAGTCTCATTTACTTATTTTAGCTTTTACTTCCTTTGCTTTTGAGGTCAAATTTATAAAATCTTCTTTAAGTCCAAGGTCCTTGAGTTTTGTTCCTATGTTTTCTTCTATGCATTTTATTGTTTCAGGTCTTATATTCAGGTCTTCATTCCATTTTGAGTTAATTTTGGTATGTGGTGATTTTTTTGTTCTATTTCTTTAAAATCCCTTTTGATGGGGATTGCATCAAAATATAATGCTTTAGATAATAAAGTCATTTTAACTATGCTGATTCTTTCAATCCAAGAACACAGAATATCTTTCTATTTGTATCTTCTATTTCTTTCAATAGGGTCTTATAGTTTTCATTATATATAGGCCCTTCACTTGTTTCATTAAATTTATTCCTAGGTGTTTCATTCTTTTTGTTGCAGTTGCAAAAGGAATTATTTGCCCACTTCTTTTTCTGACACTTTATTGTTAAATTATACAAACGCTATGGATTTTTAACATTGGTTTTGTCTCCAG